GGGAGCTGGGCCACCGTGCCGACGACACCATTGCCCAGGCAGAGCGGGCACTCAGCACCCACCATGACCCTAACTCCTTTGTCTTCTGAGCTGTGACAAGCCTGGTCCCATTGACAGAGGAGCCGCAGGGAATGTGGGAGGCAGCCAGAGCAGCACCAGAGGTAGCCACAGGGCTTCTTGGTTTTACTCCATTGCTGGAAGCTCCAGGCTGGGGACTGACCAGGGCTCCCTGTGCCTGGTGGAGTAGTGAGGGGAGCAGTGATGTCCTTGGAGATCTGGGGCCAGCCCTGAGCTATCCAGCCTGGAGGAGAGGCCGTGGGGCTGGGACATGGCAGGGACCAGGATATGGTCTAGGAATGTCTTGGAGACATCGCAGGGATGAGAGAATGTCATAGGGACATTGTGGGGGCATTGTGGGGAGCAGGGGATGTCATGGGGACATCATGGGGACTGGGGCATGATGTGGGGATATCATGGGGACCAGAGGACATCGTGGGCACTGGGGGGATGTTGTGGTGTCCATGGGACATCGTGGCAACATCATGTTGACCAGAAGACATTGTGGGACTGAGGGACACCACAGGGACTGGGGGAATATCACAAAAACATTATGAGGCCTGGGCCATCATAGGGCCGTGCAGTAAAGCCGTGCTGTCCTCCCATGTGTCGTTCCAGGTGCCTCTGTGCTGTGTCGTCCCAGGCATTGAGCAGCCAGGGAGAACTCACTCCTCCTCCCCACTGGGGACAGCAGGTGGGGGGTGACGCACCTGGAGCACCCCCAGCCAAGCCCACCCTGTCATCCCCTCCAACTATTCCCAGTGGGAATAACAGCAGCAACAGCGGGAGCCAGAGCCAGATTTACTGCTGAGTTGGGGCAGGCAGGGGGTGTCCTTCAGTCACGCAGTGCTGGGGGGTGGCAAGCAGGGGGACCCCAGGGCGGTGTCCGTGTCCTCAGGATGGCAGTGGCCTGGAGGGGCACATGGAGAGGGGACTGGTTGCAAGAGGGACCCCTCACCCCCGCCCCGTCACTGTGTCACCTCATGTTCCCAGAGCCAGCTTGCTCTGGAGGTGCAGCCCTGGGAGATGTCCCCCTGGTTGGGGGTCACAGTCTGGCTCCAATCTTGGCAGAGGAGCCCCCCACACACCACCAGGGCACTGCTGGTGGCACCTACCGTGAGGGGCCAGGAGCTAAGCCGGCAGCCCCTTGGAGAAAGCATACATCCCAGGCAGGTAGAGTGCGTCCCCAGCCCGGCCAGCCTCCTCCACCGCCCGGCACTCAGCCTCATCCCGGTGCTTGATCTCCTGTGGGGCAGAGCATGGCGCTGGCACCAACTATGGCACTGCCCAGTGCTGGTGCTGGTGCTGGTGGTCAGCTCACCTTCACTGCCAGGTGATGGCTGGGGCCGCAGTTGTGGTACTTGTCCAGCACCTTGGGGACATCACCGCTGTCAAACTTGTAGCAAGCCAGGCAGGTCGGTTTCCTCTGTGGGGAGAGCATGGCATGTGGCATGTCATAGAATCATAGCATCATAGAATGGTTTGGGTTGGAAAGGACCTTAAGATCATCTAGTTCCACTAGACCAGGTTGCTCCAAGCCTCGTCCAACCTGGCCTTGAACACCTGCAGGGATGGAGTATTTACTACTTCTTTATGCAATCTGTTCCAGTGCCTCACTACCGTCACTGTAAAGAACTTCTTCCTTACATCTAACCTTAACTTCCCCTGTTTAAGTTTGAACCCCTTGTCCTATCACTGCA